GGGCATGTCAAGTTGGGATGTTTGGGCATCTGAGCTGCTTGGGGCTTAGGGTTTGGGGTTTGGTGTTTAGCGTTTAGGGCCGTCGGACTTGAAGTGCAGGCTCAGGGGAAGATTGGGTTCGGGCTGTTCGGGTTCCCAGAGCCGCGAAACCCTCTATGGCGAAATTCTGGTTTCTTCTTGGCTACCCTAAATGCGAGGGGCCGCCTTATGATAAGGACCCCCAAAAAGGAACCCTAATCTAGAGAAATCACCATCTAAGTCTGTTGTTCCTCGAAGGCTGAGAGGTCGTGGAAAGTCGGGTTGTTCACGGGGTGGGGTTCGACGCATCGGGATGCCTGCATCAACTCAACTTGTTCTCTTAGGTTACTGGCCCGGAAACCCAAATCCCCAACCCCTTCCTTACGCCTAGGGTTGGAGGCCGGGCGAAGATCCGAGGGTAGTTTCATGGGCCCTTAATATGGTCCCTAATCTCCCTTAACTTGTATAGGGTAGAAAAGGGCTATAGAAAGGGGTATCCGATTAAGGCCCCATACTCAGGGACCATGTAACTACCCTTAAGAGAAGATGAAACAGCACAAGGCTTCCGAGACCCTAAACCCTAAACACGTTGCCGTCGAAAGCTCCAGGTGAGAACGCTGCGCGGCAGCCGCCTGGAATCCTCCCGCTCTTTTCATAGCTGGAGGAAGGCAGCTCGGAGCGCTGAATCTGAAGGGAAAATAACGGTTTAGGGTCTAGGCTGCTTAGGGTTTAGGGTTTAGGGTTTAGGGTTTGGGGTTTAGGGTTTAAGGCAAGTTAAGGTGTAGAGTGGAACTGCAAGTACAAGGGTCCCAATACTACGCTGCATGAGCGGCGTAAGCATGAAAGCGGTAGAGTCACCACGCTTCTTTGGTGGATGGAGGTTGACACTTGTCATCAGGGTCAAGTTTAGCTGGGGGTTTGTTTCGGGTCCGTGGTGTTAATACTGTCAGTGTCCGAACAGCTGTTCTTGCTTCGTTTCACATGTTGGTGTTGGGTTTAGGGTCATGTAGCATCTTCAACGGAAGGACGAACACTCTACGCGACTGCAAGTTTCTGCCAGTGAAGAGCTCCGTAGGGTTTAGAGCTCAGGGTTTGGTCGTTGAACCTTGGAAGCAACCCTAAACCCTAAATCCCTAAACCCCTCAACCCCTAAACCCCTAAACCCCTAAACCCTAAACCCTAAACCCTAAACCCCTAAGCCTGTTGTAAGAGCTCGCCTCGGTGGGCCTGACGCAGCCACACCCGGAAAATAGGAGGAGGAATGGAAGAGGTGCCTAGTCAAGGAAGCGACTACTAGTAGTACTAGTAGTAGTAGTAGTAGTAGTAGTAGTAGTAGTAGTAGTAGTAGTAGTAGTAGTAGTAGTAGTAGTAGTAGTAGTAGTAGTAGTAGTAGTAGTAGTAGTAGTAGTAGTAGTAGTAGTAGTAGTAGTAGTAGTAGTAGTAGTAGTAGTAGTAGTAGTAGTAGTAGTAGTAGTAGTAGTAGTAGTAGTAGTAGTAGTAGTAGTAGTAGTAGTAGTAGTAGTAGTAGTAGTAGTAGTAGTAGTAGTAGTAGTAGTAGTAGTAGTAGTAGTAGTAGTAGTAGTAGTAGTAGTAGTAGTAGTAGTAGTAGTAGTAGTAGTAGTAGTAGTAGTAGTAGTAGTAGTAGTAGTAGTAGTAGTAGTAGTAGTAGTAGTAGTAGTAGTAGTAGTAGTAGTAGTAGTAGTAGTAGTAGTAGTAGTAGTAGTAGTAGGAGTAGTAGTAGTAGTAGTAGTACTACTACTACTACTACTACTACTACTACTACTACTACTACTACTACTACTTTTTGCTTCAGAACCCCAACAAAAAAAGCAACGATACTAAATCCCTATATTGCCCTTCTGAGGAAGACTATTTTTTGATCCTCTGTTTTTTTTGGGGGGGGTTCTTCAGCAACGAGTAGGCTACGAAGAGGCTGGCCCGGGGGGTAGTCTGACATCCTCTAAAGCCCTTTTGCCCTGTGGAGCCCCTTGCCGAACTAGAGTTACCCTATGTGCTTCTATTTGGGATGTTGCCCCTCATACTAGCAGTCCTTAATAGGGATGATAGTGATAGGGCCTATTAAGGACGCTTTGTATGAGGGGGAACATCCCAAGTTTCTATAGTTAAAGTTACGCACGAGCCTCCAGTAATCCCGCCTGTGAGGATACTGTATGCTGGCTGGCCATCTCGCCCACTCCTCTGTGACATGAGGACGCACTCATTGAAGCTCATGTTTGTCCTTTTGGGGATTGGCTACATCATGGATCTCCATTCTGGTACATTCCTTAGCTGGGCTGCCAGAAAGGGCCCGTAGGTTGAAGCAACCCCCATGTCAAGAGGCTGAACCTCTACCCCCTCCTAACCCCATAACCCCATAACCTCAACCTCATAGCCCCTCAGTCCTAGACCCCTTAAACCCTAACCCTAAACCCTAAACCCTAAACCCTAAACCCTAAACCCTAAACCCTAAACCCTAAACTAGGAGCCATGAGTTCGGGATGCCCAGAGAGCCCAGTACCCTCGCATCATCAAGGAATGTACCTTAAACTACGCATCGAGATCAATTAGGCTTAATGAAGGAGCATTGGGGTGTAGGGTTTAGGGTTTAGGGTTTAGGATTTAGGGTTTAGGGTTTGGGGTTTAGGGTTTAGGGTTTGGGGTTTAGGGGTTGGGGCTTTCTGCGTGTCGGGTTTGGTGGCACATGCCAGGACGCCGAGCCTGGTGGGCCCTCCGCAGTGAACTAGGAGACACCCGCCTCACCAATTTAGCCTCGGCACGTGCGCGTGAAATTGCTGGGGAGATTCTGGGCACCCTAAACCCTAAACCCCAAACCCCAAACCCCAAACCCTAAACCCTAAACCCTAAACCCTAAACCCTAAACCGGAAAACCCGAAGGGTGAGTTCCAGCTCGACCCTGAGACCCCCACATCAACTTGCTCCGAAACCCTCAACCGCCTGACTCTCATGCGGGTTTGGGGTTTGGGGTTTAGGGTTTGGGGTTCGGGTTTGGGGTTTAGGGTTTGAGGTTTAGGGTTTGGGGTTTAGGGTTTAGGGTTTGGGGTTCGGGGTTTAGGGTTTGGGGGGGTCGCGGGTCCTAGCACGGAAGGAAGTTCTGGAAGCCAGGGGGTCGGCTAATCACCGTGATACACTTCAAAGGGTTGAGCGTTAGGGTTTAGGGTTTAGGGTTTAGGGTTTAGGGTTTAGGGTTTAGGGTTTAGGGTCGTTGGGGGTCGTGGTTTTGGGGTTCAGGTTTTGTAGGGCAGAGACTCTGATATTGGAATTTAGGAGAATAGGGTCCCCGAATATCGAAACCCCAATAGTAGGATCCCCTTATAATTAGGGCCCCAATAAGGTATCCCTACTTTCGGAAACCCCCATATCCCTTGAAGAATAGTGCTGAAATCGTAATGAGGACCTCAGTTGGATATTGGAGTCTCTCAAACTCTAAACCTTCAACTTTCAATCCTAAACCCTTGGCCCTAAACCCTAAACCATCAACACACCCAATTCCCCAATCCCAGGACCTTCGAACCTGATGAAGTAGGAATAGAAGTAATTGCAAAAGAATCGAATACATAGCAGTACTAGTAAAAGAAGTAGCTGTAATCATTAAGATAGTCATAGCAACAGTAGGGTTGGGGGGCTCAGGTTTTCGAGAACAGGGACACATCTCCCTAAACCCTAAACTCTGCACCCTAAACCCTTCGGACCCCAAACCCTAAACCCTAACCCCAAACCCTAAACCTTAAACCCAAAACCCAAAACCCCAAACCTAAACCCTAAACCCTAAACCCTAAACCCTAAACCCTAAACCCTAAACCCCAAACCCCAAACCCTAAACCCTAAACCCTAAACCCTAAACCCTAAACCCTAAACCCTAAACCCTAAACCCTAAACCCTAAACCCTAAACTCTAAACCCTAAACCCTTCGGACCCCAAGCTGCCCTTGTAAGGGTTATCAGGTTTCGGGCTCATGGTGTGAAGCAGAACTACTATTTGCTTAAATCCCCCCCCAAAAAAACAAAAAACAATCCCATATTACGCTTATAAGGAAGAATTGTTTGTGTTTTTTGAGGGGTCCTTGAGCAATGGGTAGAGAAGGAAGCACCTTGCATTCTTTGCAGCCATTGCGCGTCAAAGTGGCGGCCCGGGGGGCAGAACTGAGGCCATCGCTGACTCGGAAAAGGGGTCAGGGTTTGGGGTATAGGGTTTGGGGTTTGGGGTTTAGGGTTTAAGGTTTAGGGTTTAGGGCATTCTACGATTTGCGATTTGGAGTTCGCGATCACATTCGCGGTTAGGCGGAAGCTATCGGGCCAATCTGCTAGTTTTTGAGGCCCAAAATTTGTTCCCTAAACCCTAAACCCTAAACCCTAAACCCTAAACCCTAAACCCTAAACCCTACACCCTAAACCCTAAACCCCAAAACCCTAAACCCTAAACCCGAAACCTAAACCTTACACCTTACACAGTGAAACTCTTTCACCTTCTTGCAGTCGAGGCCTGGGTCACTTGGTGCACAAAGGTTTAGGGTTTAAGGTTTAGGGTTTAGGGTTTACCGAAGGGATTGATGGATCGGGCTCATGGACGACAAGTGTCACGCAGCTCTACAACACGAGCGTCTTGAGTGGCTGCGTGGAGATCTCCAAATTTTGGTTCAGACATCCGGGTTGCAAAGGATTCCATACAAGGAGATGTGCAGATGCACTCCAGCTGCACCATCGACTCGCCATAGACCCCATAAGGTCCAAGTCTTTACTCCCCTTGACCTTCCACAGCTGCAGACTGTGAGAGATGCGTCCCCAAACCCTAAACCTCAACTCTAAGCCCTAATTAAACCCTAAACCCTAAACCCTAACCCTAAACCCTAAACCCTAAACCCTAAACCCTAAACCCTAAACCCTAAACCCTAAACCCTAAACCCTAAACCCTAAACCCTAAACCCTAAACCCTAAACCCTAAACCCTGTACTGCTCCGAGAGGCCATGCGAGCTGCCGCCCGTGCGTGGGCCGCGACGCTTGGCAGACACTCTCACAGCCACACCGATGCGGGTTTAGGGGGTTTAGGGTTTAGGGTTTAGGGTTTAGGGTTTAGGGTTTAGGGTTTGGGGTTTAGGGTGTCTCAATGAGTGGGCGCGCTGGTGCTGAAAGCACCGGGGCGCGCGCCCCGATTTGCATAAGCCCACCCCCGCTGGCGCTCCACCCTCGCCTTAACCTCTACGGGTTTAGGGTTCTTTTGAACTCTGATCGTGCTGTTGCTATTATTCTCTTGTCTATTGGTTGGGTTTAGAAATTCGGCATTGATGCAGATCACCTACCCTGAAGCTCGCAGCCCCTAGGCATTGCAAGGGAGATGTCTATCAGTCGAGGGCTGCTGGGAGAGCCAAAAGTCAGAGGTTTGGGGTTGGGGTTGGCTGCCGCCTTCGCCCTCGGCGATGCGTGTTGGGCGGGGATTTGGAAAACTTGCTTGGAAGGGCGTGAAATCAGAAGTTTGGGCTTTCGCCGCTTTCGCCATGCTGATGCTGCATCTTTTATTTTTGTCTTGTCGAATGGTTGTTGGGCTTAGATGTCCATCATTCGAGGGCTTTTGGGAGGGCCAAAAAGTCAGAGGTTTTGGGATTGGGTTGGCTGCCGCCTTCGCGCCTGAAGTCAAAGGGTTGGGATGGGCGGTTGCTGCTGCCTTCGCTTTGGCTGATTCTGCATCTGGAAGGCCTGGTTGGAGGCGTGGTGGCCTTGTGAGTCTTTGTAAAAGTGCCAAAAACCCAAAGGTCTGGGCTTGGGGCTGGCTGCCGCCTTCGCCCTTGGGGTGATGCTGCGTTTTGGTTGGGGATCTGGATCCCTTGCTTGAAAGGGCCTCCCAGCAAGGGGCCTCAGGCCTGCTTTTCAGGCGGGTTCAGGCAAAAGGTTTCCGGCAAGCAGGAGATCCTCCCAGGCAGGGTGCTTCCCAGCCTTCCGAAATTCTTTCCAAAAAGTGCAAAAGCCCGAAGGTTTGGGCTTGGGGCTGGCAGCCGCCTTCGCCCTTGGATGCTGCGTCCTGGTTGGGGATCTGGATCCCGGGTGAAGCACCAGCGCCACGGGCCAAGGCCTAGGGCAGACCAGAAACTCGGGCCAGGCGACTCCCAGACAGCCGCCTCCTGCCAGGCAGGGCGTTTCAAGCAGGCACCCCAGCGGCCTCCCAGACAGGAGCACAGGCAGGGGCCTCCGCCCTTGGATGCTGCGTCCTGGTTGGGGATCTGGATATCACCAGGATTGCAGGGCCAGACAGGGGGCCTCGGGCAGGGAGGGGACTCTGGGGGCCAAGGCAGGGTGGGCCCTTTCAGGCAGGACCTCCCAGGCAGGGCCTCCCAGGCATGGTCACCGGGTCTGGGAGCCTCTGGTCCAGGAAACACGACGACGGCCGGGACCTCCCAAAAGGAGGTTGCCATGTTTTGCCCGAAGGTTTGGGGTATCTCATTCTAGAGGCGACCTGACGGGTTTCTCGCCAGCGACCTGCCAGGTCCACCGCGCAGCCCGCAGCTGCCTGCGGGACTGGAGCTCCGTCGCCCGCCGGAGGGCTTCTGGCTCCGGAGCTCCCTCGCCTGCCGCCTTCGGTGCGTTCGCCCTGCTCGACGGCCCCGGGCTCACTCAGTTTAGGGTTTAGGGTTTAGGGTTTAGGGTTTAGGGTTTGGGGTTTGGGGTTTAGGGTTTCAAGGGACCAAGGAGGGACCCTTAGAAGGGGCCTTTGGGGTTATTCAGGGGGTATTAGCCCTCAAGCAATTTTTTGCATGTTGAACGCTGCGCTGATATTTGTGTCCATGTCACTCTACCGCTTTTTTCGTTGCGGTTGTTGCTTCATGGTCCACATACCTAGTGCTATAGCTGTTCGTGAAAGGGGCCGCTACACAAAGCTCATGCAGGCGATGGTATGAGTACCGTGAGCTTGTCTCTGGAAATGGAATCTGAGAAAGACGAAGTGGACCTTAGTCACCATTTCTCATAGAACTTCTCTATCCAAAAGAAAAGGTCTGACCAAGAGTGGAAGGCCTTAAGAACCTCGAAGACCCATCCTCAAAAGCTTGCTTTTAGGCCCTTTGAGCGCTAAACGCCGGCAGGTCTGCACGCGCGCATGCTCTGGCCAAAGTCGTGCGCCCTCTTGCAGGCCGGAGGTTTTGCTGTTTCAGGGTTGAGGGTTCAGTGGATTGAGAGTTTCGGGCTGTGCTTGCTCGACCCTACACACAACCACGGCCCCTTCACCACGGCCTTTTGGCATCCATGAAAGAGAAGCCAAAAGAGTGGGGTGTTTCGGCCCAAAACTCATCACAGCTGCACGAGTTCAGGGGTCCGCGTTGGGCTTCAGGATTCAATATTGCACTTGCGCATCTTCCGTCCCTCTTGGTGGCCCTCCGCCCAGCATCTCCGAAGTGCAATGCAGGTCAAAATCAGTGAAAGCCTCGAGTTGTCGAGCAACCCTAAACCCCAATTAAGTCGCAAAAACTACTTGGAGGTTCATGGGTAGTTGTTGAGTAGGGTTATAAGTACCCTTGATGAGGTTATAAGTACAGTTCCCAGACTTACAGCCCTGCGCATCACTACCCCTGAACCTCTAATCTGACACCCCTAAACGATCAGGACGGCGGAGGCTCGTCGCTGCTGTGGCATTTGGCACTGCTGCGGCCGCCAGACCCCCAAACATGTGGGAGTTTCCGAAATTAGGCGTACCTTATTGGGGTCCCTACTATAAGGGAATCCTAGTATTGTGGGCTTATAAACGGGGTGCCTCCTTTTCGCAAACCCCCATGTAACATCCAGGAAAAGCAACGATTGATGGCCTTTCTCGGTTCTCCATGACCCTGTTCTTCACGTCTGAACCTGCCGAGGTGACCTCCACACAGCAGCGCCCTTCCTCCTGCCTGTCCGTGAGCATTCCCAAGGATGCCGGAGTCTGTCGGATGGCAGGTTCTGTCTTCAAGTGTGCGAACACTTAAGCTCCCCGAAGTCCTTGCAGCCCAGACCCTGAAGCCCCAACACCAGGCGGCCCACGCTTGAAGCCCCAGTTTCTCAACCCAGATGCTGACAAGACACCTCGGAACAGGGACCTCACAGCCAAAGTCGGGTTTCGCGGGTCTGTTTGGGGTTCAGGGTTTCAGCGGGGTTTGGGTTGAGGGTCTAGCGGGGGCAGGGTAGGGGGTTAAGGAGGGTTTAGGGCGGTTTGTGAGCATACACGCACTTTCTAATTGAGGCCCTACTTAGAAAATTGAGCTACAAGCTATAAAAAGGTTTTGGGCGCCATGAAATGGTGTTGCCAACGGGATTCCCCAATCAAACAATTCGAAGACAGGAGAATCACAAGGCGGAGGCCGGCTAGGGGAGGGGGGGAGGGTGTTTAGGGGTTTAGGGGGTTTAGGGGTTTAGGGGTTTAGGGGTTTAGGGCTTTAGGGCTTTAGGGCTTTAGGGGTTTAGGGGTTTAGGCGTTTAGGGTTTAGGGGTTTAGGGTTTAGGGGTTTAGGGTTTAGGGTTCAGGGTTTCGAGAGGGAGGGAGGGGGAGGGGCTGGGCAGGGGTTGGTGCTTTGCGAACCTTCTGAGCCCTTAAAATGCCCTTAAACCACCCTGGCTCCTGGTTTTGGGGTTGAGGGTCGAAGACCTTCAGACCCACTTTGTTTAGAGTGTAGGGACCGGTGGACTGAGGAAAGACGCGGGGAACGGAACAAGGCAGAAGACACAGGTGACCCAAACCCATGCCACGACATACCTGTGTCAGTGGTTGAGCCAACATTGTCGTCAGGGCAGTACAGAAATAACATGTTTCCGGTATGTGAGAACCAAAGGCCAAAGGCATTGGACACGAGCCACACGACAGAAACCGGGGCTCAAGGATACGGCGGACGCTTAGAGCCCGAAGCCACTTGAGGTACCAGGTTTCAGGAGGTCGCTCAGCACAAAACGACCTCGCCGCAAACGCTAGAAAGTCGACCCAGCTGTCTGACCTAGCGAAGGAGAGCAAGGCCCAGACATCTCCACTCTGAAATCGAAACCACCTTCTCCCTTGGCCGCAGATCAGATGCCCCACATCACCCTCGCGCATGCCCAGAAAGACCCCGACCGGAGGTCCTGTAGTCCGCCTTTGGGAGGTCAGAACGATGGTGCCCTCAAACCCGGAACCAACCCTAAACCCTAAACCCTAAACCCTAAACCCTAAACCCTAAACCCTAGACCCTAAACCCTAAACCCTAAACCCTAAACCCTAAACCCTAAACCCTAAACACTAAAGCCTAAACCCTAAACCCTAAACCCTAAACCCTAAACCCTAAACCCTAAACCCTAAACCCTAAGCCTTAAAGCCCTAAACCCTAAACCCTAAACCCTCAACCCTAAACCCTAAACCCTAAACCCTAAACCCTAAACCCTAAACCCTAAACCCTAAACCCTAAACCCTAAACCCTAAACCCTAAACCAGTCCACCCAAGTTGAAGTCTCAAACCCGCCGTGAGCCTGCGTCCGGCTTCAGCGAGGTGCTCTCCAGCCCTGGCATCACCATGCTCATGTCTGTCATCCGCGGCTTGGTTGGCCAGGAAGAGGTTCTGGCGGTTGAGTAGGGTCAGGGTTGCGTGAGGGTTAGGGTGTGTAGGCATGGTTTCCTTAAACTGGTAATTGGATTTAAGCACCTTAATAGCCTCCGGCCGTGGTTCTTCTTGCGGAAGAGTGGCTGAGCTCCAATTTGTAAAGTGCTCCTTTCAAGGCTAGTGGCAACCTTTTGGCTTCTTCATGGCGGCACCTGAGGCACCCAAAGTCAGAACTAGGCTGGATTCGGGGGAACGAAAAGGCATTTCTTGGGTATCCCCAAGGTTTGGGGTTTAGGGTTTAGGGTAGAACCCTGAACCCCAGCACAGTTTTTTTTTGAGCAAGTGTCAGCGAAGGGCCGCGCGCATGTTTTTTCAGCTGATGGCTGTCGTCGAGCGCCCCAAAGGGCGACAACCTCGCTGACGAAACCGCCCATCAGCATCCACGATACCGACCCTACACCCTAAACCCTAAACCCTAAACCCTAAACCCTAAACCCTAAACCCTAAACCCTAAACCCTAAACCCTAAACCCTAAACCCTAAACCCTAAACCCTAAACCCTAAACCCTAAACCCCCGCAACCCTAAACCCCAAACCCCAAACCCTAAACCCTAAACCCTAAACCCCAAACCCTCATCCTGAAAGTGCCCGAGCCGGGCCTGGAGCTCAGGAGACAAGCGGACCAACCAGGCGCGTGGGACGCGTATGGGGAAACTCCTACCCTGTACAGGGTTTAGGGTTTAGGGTTTAGGGGGGAACCACATTTTTGGGAAATTCCCGTCTTTCCCGGGTATACTAGTCCTACTTTTTTGTAGGGGGCTGTGTGTGACGGGTGTAGTAGTCCAGTCTACAATGTACCAAGAATGTTGTTTTGTGCCATCTTAATTTTGGGTTCCTAAATTTGCGGTTTTAGCATATTTGGCGGGGTATCCTTTCTGCTTCAAGGACCTAACGCCTGGTAAGCCTTCGATGGTAAGCTTAATTACCCTAAACCCTAACCCTAGACCCTAAACCCTAAACCCTAAACCCTGAACCCCAAACCCTACCCTAAACCCTAAAACCTAAACTCAGGGCCTAGGCCGCCCCCCTACGTTGGGGGGCGGCGCTTAAGCCCTTTGACCTCGATGGCACAAGCCGACCCAGGTCGCTCGCCCGCCTCCCACAGCATGGTCAGTAGCGCCCACACGATGGGCTCGAGGACCAGTACTGGTCTCTTCCCGATGACCCTCACACCCCTGACCCTTTCACGGAGGTACCCCCTCCCTGGCCCACCTGGCCCCTCTGACCCCCCTGACCCCCCTTGGCCCCCCTGGCCCCCCTCCTGGGCCCCCCTTCCTGGCCTTCCTGGCGGCTTTGCTGTCTGGCCCCTTTGTGCCGTTTTGGCAGCCTGTCCTCTTTACCGCCGGCCCGGGGCCTCTATCTTACCTTCGAGACCTTGCTGGCACCCTTGACTCTCGTTTGAAAAGTGGACTGTTGTCTGAGTTTAGGCCTAAACCCTAAAAGGAATAGGTTTGGGTGGCTTTGCCGCCTTGGATGGCGTGGGGTGGGAGAAAAGTGTTAGATGGCCCTCCACAATCGGGCCAAAGCTGCTCTTCGGCACCTCGCGAAGCCTTCGAGCTTGTTCCGAAACCTAACCTTCACAGCATCTACGCCCTATCACAGCAAACCCTAAACCCTAAAACCTAAACCCTAAACCCTAAACCCTACAGGACCGCATCGTTCTGGCAGCCCAGGATCTCCAGGCATTTGAAAAGTTGCACCCTGAACTCAGATTTTTACGTAATCATACATTCAGACCCCTGGGAGGACTGAAAAAGAAGATTCCCCAAATAGTACCCTATACTGCTACTGGTTCATTCTGAGGAACCCTTAAGGGGATCTATTTTGTGGATCCTCCCAGGGGGTTTCCCTAAACCCTAAACCCGACCTAAATCCTAAACCCTAAACCCTAAACCCCAAACCCCCTTGCCCGCGAACTCCCCACGCAGAGGCCGAGTACGTGCGGGCGGTGGATCGGCTGATGGCCATCCTGGCCGAGGAGCCCCCTTGCAAGGGGTCGTTTAGGGTTTAGGGTTTAGGGTTAGGGTTTAGGGTTTAGGGTTTAGGGTGTAGGGGTTTAGGGGTTTAGGGGTTTAGGGGTTTAGGGGTTTAGGGGTTTAGGGGTTTAGGGGTTTAGGGGCTTAGGGGCTTAGGGTTTAGGGTTTAGTGTTTAGGGTTTGGATCCAAAGAAAATTTAAGGGGGTTTCCGAAAACAGGAGGTGCCCGTTTTGGGGGGTCCCTTTCACGGGCTTCTATTCTAGTTGGGGTATTCAACGGGGTTACCCCTATTTTGGGTTTGGGTGCTTCCGATAACAAGGGTCTCCTAAGTGAGAAGGCCGAAAATTTCTCCAAAGAAGAACCCAAATCAATGGCGTGCCTCTTAGAATTCGGAGGCCAAGAAGGTGCCCTGAATGTCGAAAATCGCCACAGCTCGGTTCTAATTCGGGCGGCTAATTTATGCCTGGGCGTCGTACCCTGGGTTGGGGCTCTCGATCTTCGCAAGTTGGATCTCAGTGCTTTTGCTTGCAGGTGGTGCGTTGGTGTTTAGGGCATCAGAGGCTTAGAAGCCTGGAACCCCAAAACCCGAAGCCCCTACAGCCCGGAGACGCCAAAGCTACTAAAGCCCCAAACCCTGCACCCTATAATTCCGGCTCAGTCCGCCGTCCCCGCAGGAGACTGGTTTGGGTTTGCGGTTCAGGGTTTAGGAAAGTTTAGGAGGTTTGGGGGGCGGAAAGCGGGTGGAGGTGGGGGCGGGGAGAGTGGAGTGGGGGGGGGGGGTTGGGTGGGGGGTTCGGGGTCGGGGTGGGGCAGGGTTGGGGCCTAAATTTAAAGACTTTCCCCCTTAGCAGGTTCCTCCACAGAAAAGTTGCCGCGGGACCCCCCCCCCCCACGTTTTGGGGTAAGGAGGGAAGGGAGGTTTCACCCCCGCGAACCCATCCAACACGCCGCCAGGGTCAGCGGATCCTGCAGCTCTGAACGCCCCAACACCTCCAAAAGCCCCAAACGCGCAAGAAGAGAACCGAAGCCCAGAAACAACCCTAGGTTCCCGTAACCCTAAATTTTCGTTCAACCCTAGACCCCAAAGCCTAAACCCTACACCCTCAACCCTAAACTCTCAACCCTAAACCCTAAACCCTAAACCCTAAACCCGAAACCCTAAACCCTAAACCCGAAACCCTAAACCCTAAACCCAAAACCCTAAACCCGAGACCCACGCAGGAGGGCGTGGCCAGGCTGCCCAGCGTCAAGCCACAGGTTCGAGAAGGGCTTCGTGGCAGGTGTGTTTTTGGATTTTGGGGGGTTTGTAGGGTTGTGCTTTTCTTGGGTTTTTCGGATTTTTGGGTTTTTGGGGGTTGTGGGGTTGTGCTTTTCTTGGGTTTTGCTCGGGTTTTTGGGTTTTGGGTTTGTAGGGTTGTGCTTTTGAGGTTTTCGGGGTTTTGGGTTTTGCCAAGGGTGTCATCCTTGTATTACTAGCGTCTTGGTGTTCTCAGAGCATTTTGTCCTTAGTAGGCCCAGGGCCACAAGCGACCAGTACGATCTGAGCCCTCATTCCCAACAGCACGGCGTTTTCGAGTCCTCAACTCTAAGCCTAAAGACCTAGAGTTCTTGAACTTTGTTCCCTAAGTCTATTTCCTAAAAGGCTTGGCTTAGAACCGCCGAGTTTCATGACAACGTGCTCTTGCTTACGGAGTCATGGGCAGTTCTGAGCATGTGTTGTGACAAAACCTCGAAAAAGCTCATAACGAGCACGGACTCCTTCGTTTACCTTACCTCTGAGCCCAGAAGTATCTACCCATGAACCCCTGCAAGTAGTGTGAAGCAGAGCTCCAAGAGGCTGTGTCGAAAGCCCTCAGAAGAAGTCCCCTCCTTCACCGGTGTCAGGTGATAGAGACGCCTTGCGGCACGTACCACGGCGTGACCTCGCCCGATCCCCACACGATCTGCGCGGTGGACCCCCCAAAGGGATTCCTGGGCTTCCCTTGATATGTGGGGGGTACTGCGGGGGGTGGGGGGTTAGGGATCTCTAGAAAATCGAAACTCGCACAACCCTCAAACCCTCAACCCCAAACCCCAAACCCTAAAAACAGAGCTGCAGGGTGGAGCCCTTTGGAGTTCAGGAACTGAAGGGTTCAGCAGAGTTGGCTCGACCTTTGAGGCCCCCCCCCTTTGGGTTGAGGGTTTCGGGTTTAGCGTTTAGGGTTTAGGGTTTGGGGTCTAGGGTTTAGGGTTTGGGGTTTAGGGTTTGGGGTTTAGGGTTTGGGGTTTAGGGATGATTTAGGGAAGACCTGCCATGAACTCCAGAGAGCATAAACTGAAGGGGGGCCTTGCCTTGGTAGGACATTGTCCGCTCCGGCGGCATCCTTCTAGAGGCCCTTTTTTTTTGACTGAGGGCTTCTGCTGCTGGAGTTTGCCAGGTTTCTGGAATCTTCGATTGTTTTGTTCATTTTCCGATGTTTCTGAGGGTGCTTGAGGTTTTCACTCTTTCGCTGATTTGGGGCTCTCAGGCTCTGTTGCCGGATAGCTTCAGCTACTAGGAGCCGCAGGCTGAGGATAAAGTTGGGATCCGGTTCGCCTGCCCTACACCCTGCACGATGGTGTGCATCCTAAACCCTAAACCCTAGGCCATTAACGATCAACCCTAACCCCCAAGCCCTAAACCCTAAGCCCTGAACCCTAAGCCCTAGACCCTAAACCGCACAACTTGAGCGAACCTGTTGATTGTACTTATATGGCAACGGTTGGCAAACTTTCTTGGAAGCCTAAACCATAAACCCCAAACCCTAAACCCTAAACCCTAAACCCTAAATCCTAAACCCTAAACCCTCATCCCCCTTGCGCCAGGCCGTCCGACGCGTGCTGCCAGAGCTCAAGCTGCTCGGCTCTTCCTTGGCTGGGGAATCCTTCTGTGGGGGTTCCCCTAAACCCTAAACCCTGAACCCTAAACCCTAAACCCTAAACCCTAAACCCTAAACCCTAAACCCTAAACCCTAAACCCTAAACCCTAAACCCCAAACCCCAGCTTCCGAACTAAGGGGGCACCTTATTGGGAGACCTTACTATCAAGGGATCCTATAGTAAGGATCCCTTATTCTTCGTAAACCTCCCTCTGGGGCAATTTAGGGTGCAGGGGGGCTCCACAAGGTCTTTATGCTTGCCTCTTGTGCTCTTGATATGTTGCCCCCCATCTTTTCTCCGACCCCTTCAACGGCTTCATGGCTGGAAGAGTTGGCACATCGGAACTTTCCGGCCTCACTGCAACGAAGCTTTGTCAATACTCCCAGATCGAACATGCAAAGAACCTTTCTCAGAATTCCAGAGAGCAGACCTTTCCTCGGGAGCCCAGATAGTTGGTGGCTCGCGTGCTAGGCGCCTGGTATTAACCTGCTTGTCGGCTCATAACGTCCGATACTATGGCTACCATGCCCAAAAACACTGGTATTTACATCGTTCTTGCTTCTTTGCGCAACGTACTGCAAAAGGATGTTGATGTTTTTGGAACAAGACACACTGTCACAAGCATTCATGTCTTTTGTGAACATGCCCAAACACTGCACTGGTATGTACATGAGGACCGCGAAGATCTTGATCCAGCGGAATGAGGCTCAAAGAGTTAGGGTTAAGGGTGTTTAGAGTTTAGGGTTTAGGGTTCAGGGTGAGCTCTGTACCCGTCTTGCCTCTACTTCGAGGTTCATCATGGGCAGTTGCAACTGGGCTTACAACTAGGGCAGCTCGAGTTCTGGCTGGTTATGACTGTGTGAACCTTAAACTCTTTTCCGAAGAGCACCTGCTTGGGACAGAGATGGACAGAAAGGACTTGTTTGTGGTTTAGGGGGTTCAGAGCTTGGGGCTTAAGGTTTGGCGTTTTTTTGGGGCGTTTGGGTTGCGAAGGCTTGGTTGAAGCCGTCAGGGTTCTGTCCCTTTTTTTTGGGATTACGAGAATTGCATGGATCCTCATTTCAGGGAACGCCCAATGGTGGCCATGATTCTGAAAGCTTCGCTTGAAAGCTGTGCAGCAGGGGTCCATCATGAAAGAAGTTCGAAGGGCCTGCACCCACAGCCTAAACCCTAAACTGTAAGCCCTAAACCCTAAACCCTAAACCCTAAACCCTAAACCCTAAACCCTAAACCCTAAACCCTAAACCCTAAACCCTAAACCCTAAACCCTAAACCCTAAACCCTAAACCCTAAACCCTAAGCACCCTGGGTGCCTGAGAGGAAACGGCTCTCCCCATGCTGTACTACTCGAAGCTCCCGCACAACATCGACAAGCTGCCCCTTGGAAGTCCGTAGGGGGTTATGAACCCTAGGCCCTGATCCCTGAACCCTGAAACCTGAACCCTGAACCCTGAACCCTAAACCCTAAACCCTAAACCCTAAACCCTAAACCCTAAAGTAGGGTTTTCACTAGATCCGTGGCCCTGCGCCAAACATCCTACAGCCCAGACCCTCTTGCTCCATCTTGGGTGGCTAGGGCATGAACCGTGAAGACCGAACCCACGCCATGTATCCCCAAACCCCTAAACCCCTAAACCCCTTCTGAAACCCCTAGACCCTAAACAAAAGCCCCCAATGCCCCGAAAGCCCCAAAGCCCCAAAACCCCAAAACCCCTTCACACCAAAAGCCCCCAAAACCCCAGCATCCCAAACCCCAAGGATGAATAGCCCTTTTGGTTGTCAGGACGAGGAATCCATAGCTCTTAGGCCACATGGTGATTCTTTTTGCAAGCCTCAACCTCAGAAACTTCATGTTTCGGGGTGGGCTAGTGGTCTGTTTGCTCAATCAGCTGGGGCTTAGGCCCTGCAGCCCTGGAAGACCGAGTTAAGCTGTGGTATCTCCCTGCACGGTGGTTCCAACCTAAACCCCAAACCCCAAGCCCCAAACCCCAAACCCCAAACCCCAAACCCCAAACCCTAAACCCTAAACCCTAAACCCTAAACCCTAAACCCTAAACCCTAAACCCTAAACCCTAAACCCTAAACCCTAAAACCCAAACCCTAAACCCTAAACCCCAAAACCCTAAACCCTGAGATAAGCTGAAGCCCCTCAACATCGAAGCCTAGCTCGGAATAAGGCATATCCTACTTTGTGATCCTATGCTGGGAACTGGCGGGTCCTCTTTGATGGCCATAGAGGCTGGCCTAGGGCCCCAAGACTTGGGATTCTTGTTCCATTCCTTCCACTTTCAAGCTTTTGGGGTGGGCTATGGCTAGAACCTTATCTAAGGCTCAGGGATGAAAGGTGGGCTTACACCCCCCCACAAGCCCAAGGAGGCCCCCCCAGAAAGGTTTAACCCTAAACCCCAAACCCTAAACCCCAAACCCTAAACCCTAAACCCTAAACCCTAGACCCTAAACCCTAAGGCATATCATACTCTGTGATCCCATGCTGGCCACCGGTGGGTCAGCGCTGATGGCCATCGAGGCAAACCCATGTAAGCCGTACCAGCCAAGGGCTTGCGGGTTTAGGGATTTAGGGATTTAGGGTTTAGGGTTTAGGGTTTAGGGTTCAGGGATTAGGGTTTAGGGTGAAGGGCTTGTTAGGGTTTAGGGTTTGGGGCTTATGGGGTCTCACGGAGTTTCCAGGGGGTTCGTGGGGTGCGGACGGATTTGTGGTTTTGGCAACTTGGGCTTTGGACTTCGGTTGGAATCCTCCAACTCTTGCCTTGCAGTTTTTGCCTCGCTTTTCTTTCCCCAGTGCCTTGACCCTAAACCCTAAACCCCAAACCCTAAACACCAAACCCCCAACCCTAAACCCTAAACCCTAAACCCTAAACCCCCAACCCTAAACCCTAAACCCTAAACCCTAAACCCTAAACCCCAAGCCCTAAACCCTAAACCCTAAGCCTAGTCCTGTACTGCACACCTAGGGAAAGCCCAAGAAAGAAACAGCACTTACTTCCGAAGGCACTGCGCCTTTTTTCAGCCGAGTTCCAAGGTTCCCTAGAGGTCAGGTTTAGGGTTTAGGGTTTAGGGTTTAGGGTTTAGGGTTTAGGGTTTAGGGTTTAGGGTTTAGGGTTTAGGGTTTAGGTCGTGTGGGTTTTGGCTTGCCAGGACGGAGGCAACCCTTGTCCTTCTCGATGTTCACACTTGTGGTGACTATCCCGACCTGAGCCACAAAGCGCCCGACTCCCCCAAAGCCACCCAGCTAACCTGGCATGGGCGGCGGTGCAGGTCTTGAAGCAGGCAGGGGTCAAGGAGGACGGGAAGCACTAGTTGATGTGGACTCGGCATGCACTCCCGTCAGGTGCCATCGCAGCATCCCTTTTCTAGGTCATGCGTAGGCTACTCTTTTTTCCGGTCCGAGACAGGCTGTAAAGCTTGTGGGGTCAAACACGTAGGAGTTAGAGTTCACTGCGGCAGAGTCCCTCTTTTTTTGAAGTCCGTGAGAATGGCGTGAAGTATGGGGGGCTTTCTGGATGTCATGTATGCAGTCCTGAGATATTGTGCTTCCTCATTGAGACAATCCGGGAGGAACTAGATTTTTTTTGCGTTTCTGTGGCAATTCATCAATTCCCTTCAACTTTTCGCTTACTGGGTTCGTCAGACTGCAAACTGCCTTCAAATTCTTTGAATTTGAATGCAAAGTTTGAATTTCACATGTTTTCTTTCTTGTGGTTTAGTTTGGTCTTACAGCGGAGGTCCACGCACGCGAAGCTAGAATTGCTTAGATTTTTTTCGACCCCAGATTTGGAGTCGCACATGCCCTTCGGCCCACAGCTAGCTGGGTAAGATGAAGTACGCACGACTCGTACCCTAAACCCTGAACCCTAAACCCTATACCCTAAACCCTAAACCCTAAGCCCTAAACCCTAAACCCTAATTCTCAACATAGTCCGGAGGAGAACATCCTCTTCATCAACGTCGTCTCTTGCCCCGAGGGCCTCAAAGCCTTGGCAGAGAAGGCACCAGAGTCGCAACCAGCCATGAGCTGTAGCCCCCTAAACCCTAAATCCCAAACCCTAAGCCCTAAGCCCTAAGCCCTAAGCCCAAAGCCCTAAGCCCTAAGCCCTAAGCCCTAAGCCCTAAGCCCTAAACCCTAAACCCTAAACCCTAAACCCTGAACCTGCTAATGCACAGCAGTGGACGTGGGAACTGGCGCGCCCTGTGTAAGTCACAGGCTTCTGCAGGCTTCTGTCAAACTTGTCAAACATTCAAGCTGATGGCTCCAGAGATGTTGGTGTGTGTGGTGATGACATTTGGGGTTTGGGTGGGTTGCTTTCGCGCCTGAACCCTCCCCAAGCCCCCCGAAACCCTAGACCCCAGACCCCAGACCCTAGACCCTAAACCCTAAACCCTAAACCCTAATTCTCACCAAACACCCAGAGGCCCCTCTGGTGCGCGTCCTCACCTGCGGCTTCGACACGCATCTGAACTCAGAGCCTCGGTTTGAAGTGGGGGAGGGTTGAAGGGCCCTACTTGGAGGTTCATGGGCAGTTAGAAGTAAGGCTATAAGTACCCTAAATAGGGTTCCAAGTTATAAGAAAGGTTATATGTACCCTACATAGGGTTCTGAGTAGAGTAACCCTACTTATAACTACCCATGAAACCGAGAAAGACCGGGCACCTCCCGCGTGGCGGGGCAGGGAA